ATCTATTTGTTCCCGATGAATCCACGATCCTTGAGATAGCGAGCGAAGGTGAATCCTCTTACTACATGGTTCGTCGATGAAGCCGCGGCCCCGCTTGAAATTCAAATCGCCGGCATCGGCAACCGCCGATCCGTTTTCGTGCTTCGTTTAGAATCAAACGAGAGAATTCGAACGAGAATTTACGTGTCTTGATACATGGAGTACCTATAATAAAAGAAACCAAGAGTTTTTCCCTAATGTCTCAAAATAGTACAATCAATTTCTATGATTTTTTCCAAAGAGAAAATACAGATTTTTAATAAATTCCTTTATAGTATTTCGCGCTCTATTGGACGTAGATTTAAGAGATTGTAATTACAACTTTGGAAATAAAAGACAAATAAAAATTCTGTAATTACCTTGGAAAAATAAATCGCAATGCACAATCGTGTGTAAGGCAAATTTATGTCTCCTATTCGTCCTACATTAGAGTATTTCCGATAAAGCGAGATGTATATGGAGAAATCTACGGTTCGTCTTCGAATTCAAACCAGCGTTTAGTCTTGGATCTTGCATTATCGGCAAAGTCGGCTTTAAATCACAGTTAATGCTCGAGATAACGAGCGAATAAGATAAACTCTTCCTACGTGATTTTCTGATAAACGCGTTCGACTAGTAGCGGCCGCCTAAAGTAAAGCGCGGTATGAGAATTCCGCTCGGAAGAAGCGAAGGGGTTGGGAAGAGGCAGCAGTACCGTTCAAAGGACGCGAGAAGAACGGCGGCGCGTGTTCGCGAGGTTGGCGCAAACTTTGGCGCTGGAGATTCAAAGCAAGCTCCGAAAGAGGGATAAATCTAAGGGCAGAGGGCGGAGCCGAACCAGTCTGAATCCTAATTACGACGACCCAGAGGCGCGTTAGACGTGACCCAGGACTAAACTCGGTTCTAAGGAGCGAGGCTAAGAGCCAAGCTGGAAGGGATGAGAGAGAGAGAGAGAGAGAGAGAGAAAGAGCGATGCGGAGTGGAAGAGTAGTTTCGGGAGGTTAAATGTTGCCGCTAGCAAAGGAACCGTCGCGTCGGATCTGCCAGAGAGGATTTCGAGAGTATGCGTCCATCTCGTCCTCGGAAACATCCTCCCCCTAGAGATAGCTGTTCCGCTTCGTGGTAGAATTAACGCCTTAGTCTGATGGTCTTACTCTCAGCCGGCCGACTTCTAATGCGATCCGGAAACTTTCAGCTCTTGCTTATTCCGTTGCAGCGTGAAAGGCGCGCGACAGTGACTCGCTACCGCAACGTTGAAAGCTTTTTTCCTTGTAAACCTGTGTGTATTCTACTAACTTTAACGTACGTTCGCTTCGTCCGCTCTTTCCTTTCCCGTGACCGACGAGTTTAATCTCTCTACAAAATTTAATAAGCATCTGTGCGTCGTCTCGTCGTGCTGTTACGTTGTTTCGCTGTTCATTTTTATGGCATATTCATTTGGAGATCTCCTTCCCTTTTCTCCACTTCCTGAACTTGCGTTAAGTCGCACAGACGTACAATCCGCGCGGAAGATCTCTCGGAGGAGATCTTGAAACTTGAGACGCGAGAAGGTTCTGTCGGAAAGCTACCTGAAATTAGCACCCTCGTTTAATACTATGGCAGATAGCCACCGGGTCAGATTTTCCGCCGAAGGCTCGCGCATCATCTTTGCACTCGAGTGCATTCACGAAACGAAGTGTCGGTTTACGTCTATTCACCTCGTTCACCGATGATGAATATCTACGTAAATTAAGCACGATTTCTATAGCGAGACATTTCATCAGTGAATATATATATATATAATTCTATTATTCGAAATATATTTCGGATGTCTTCACGCTATAAACTACTCTATTTATTCGTGATTGAAATGCGTGCGATATTTTTTCTCTCTGACATGCTTCGTATACTTTTCCAAATTTTATATTATGTAAATAATATGGCAATTATTTGAAAATAAAAGTATATATGTTCTTAAAGATGTTTAGAAACTATATCAAATAGCGCGAAGCTTAATATTTTTGAATTACAAATAAAAATTATTTAAGAATTTTTGACAGAAAAATGTGTGAAATTTTCAACTCGGCAAAATATTTTACTATAAATTTTCAATTCATATTAATTAAGATTTATAACATCTTTGGCGTATAAATGTTTCTTTCTTCTAATGTCGAATTTGTTTTGAAGCAAATCATTATATGGAATAAAAATGATTTCTCTGTGCACTCTGTGCTCTTTTAACGATACACGAATATTATGGGCGCGCGAAAGCGAGATAATTGTGGATCGTTGGACGCCACTGCAAATCTTGACGCATCTTTATCATTATGACGTTATAATTAACAAAGTCTAGCGCTTAAAAGTATCGCATGCAATTTGTTCTCATTAGCGACTGAGCTTTTTCACCCGAGCTCGTTGCGGGCAGCGATGGTTTCCGTTGAGCAAATACCGCGTTCAGTCGCGAGCAAAATAATAGAGTTGCTAATACCATCGTTCTCGAAGCTTATACGAAGGCCCGGTAACACACGATAATTTAAAGCGAGTTGCCCCAACCACTTATACACACGCGCGCACATATTTGCGCGTGCGTGTCTTTAAAAATGATAATACGCTCGCTGCTCTAAGACTCCGGTGCTTTGTGGTGAATTTCACTTGGCTGTAATAGGATCACGTGAAGATAAACTCCCAGGATTAGGGGATTATCGAGTAACCTCCATGCGTGCGGGCAGCCTTAATGGTATGCTAATTTGGTGCTAATTCTGAAGGGAAACAGCTAATAACTCAACGGCGCGCTAACCACGAAGATTCCACCACTGGCACCGATATAATTCCGCTAAACTTGCGCCTGTCCCTTAGCACGAATCTGAACAGTAACATATGTTATCCCTCCCACGATGTCTTCCCCAAGGCAGAGCGAGCTCGCCATATACATATACGCGCGCCGCGTTTGCCGAAAACGTTTCCGGACTCAGTCGCATCGAGTGCGGGCAAAGTTTTAGAGCTGCTAATTGAATTACGATTCGTGTGTGTTGTCATTGTCGTGCGAACGTGCGATTATAATCACATCGCGAAATTGAGATCGTGTGAATACGGCGTGGTAAATCCGGCAATATTGTTATTTCACTTAATGTTCATGAACAATACAGTCCAAATAGACACATATATACTATGACAGATGGAATTACAATACGATATATCGACATATGAGATATAAACATATTATATTTTATCTGTGTGTTCTACTTCATATTTCATATATTTAGCGTTAAATTCAGCCATCTGATCCTGATCTTATTCGTCTAATATATTAATAGAATTAAACACACAGAGAGAGAGATTTCTATTATAATCTATTATAATATTGATATGCTTCTTAACTTAATTCTTTTTTAAATTATATCAAATTATAGCTAATTTATCTACTATTAAAATTATTAGAAATAATAAGATTATATTCTGTCGATATTTTTTATTTTAATCTGAAAATTATACAAAAAATGACGCGAGCCGTAAATACGGTGCAGTGTCGAGACGCAAAGTAGCGAAGCAAAATACTGTCGCTTAAGTGTGCTACGTATCATTTACGTTACGGCGATAAGAAAGGAAAACGGCGTGTTCGGAACCGCGGACATCCGTTTAATCTGCAATCTGCGGATCGGCTTTACCGGCAATAGTTTCACACTTTAGGGATTTCGGTATGCAAATGCCGGCGAAGAAACACGCGCGGTATATCGGGGCCTGGCCAGTCGCCAGCTACTATCCCTCGCAACCGCTGGCTACCTATCGCGACCTGTGTTGGCGACGTGTTAGCGAAGCGTATTGCATATTGCAACGTGGATCGAACCATGGAAAGCACGCAGAAAGGCGAAACAAAAACGTTTCCGTGAAAAACACCGGCGTATCTTCTCACGAACGCTTCATAAAAATATTATTTTGCTTTATAAATCTGGGTTTGATATTTATTTTAACGTAAGAATTAAATTTCATAATAAATCATTTTAATAGGAATATTTAATACGGGTTATTATATAAAATGATATATGTATATTTTAACAAAATTCTTTCAATCAAATTGTTTTTAAATAATGATTTGATTTAACTTTCTTTTTCTTATCGTATATAATTATGTAAAAAAATGTATTACTAAATTTGTTTAGTTTTCGCTATAATATATTTGTTTGTATTTTTTTAAAGCTACAGTTATCATTAATAAAACCATTTCGGAAGACATTATGTTTACTTTCTATTATACAGATAAGGCGAAAATTGAATGATGCATCAAGAGGGTGAAGACTTTCCCATGGAAAATTGGACGGAATTTCTTAGAGATTGCATCAACTGCACTCGCGTGAAGAACGTTAAACGTATCAAGCGCGAAATATCTAACGGTTCATGCTTTTAGCTTTACGCTGTGTAATTATTATAGTTTCGCGCGCAATACGTTACACGGCGGTGATAAGAATCGGGATATCGTCGGCAACATGCCGCGCGATAATACGTTCAGCACGAGTTGAAATTCAAGAATCGCCTGTGCCTTTCAAAGTAGAATATGCATAATCGCGTGTGAGAGATTAAATAACGTTGAAATGTTATTTAATCTTAAAAAAGAAGATAATAAAGAATACACATTTAAATTTCAACGGGAGAGAAAGAGTCGGATGCGGTTATGAAGAAAGTAATTAATTGAAACTGATTAGTTGAGACACAAATTTTCTTTGGTACACATAATTTAATAAATCTTAATTCGAGATATTTTTATTTTTAATAAATTCTTCTAAAGAAATGTAGGCGAGAGAAATATCGGCACGAAAGTGCTGAATCGAGAATCGAATATAAAAATATTTAGATAACAAAGAATCGTACATGTTATACTATATCATGCTAAACATTAGACATAAGCGTCTCCGCATTGGATTTCTTTTAAAGTATCTGCATTATATCGGTGATTTTGTATGTAAAATATATGTTGCATCAAAGTTTGCATGATGTTTACTCTGTTGCAGGTGAGTTGAAAATATCGTTGCACGAAGGAAGAGACGTAGAGAAAATACATGTAATTACTTTCGATCTGCAAGAAACGCCGGCAGCGGTGAGTGGTAAAGATATTTACAAACTATAATAGTTTACAGCAACACATCTATACAGGCACCATATACCGAGCTTTTCTAAAATATATCTTTTTAAGAAAAATTACAATACAATGCTATAATTTAAAATGATTAGACTAGAGTATAGAGTAGAGACGATGAATGTAAAATAATTTAGGAATATTTTGTACCTATTTGACATTTTTTCATATATATCATGAATAGACGACTATTATGCTTTTGGCGCCAGCGAACTGTCAGTGGTCTTAGGATCGCGAGGGATCGATATAGAGAAGGTCACGGAACCCTCGTAATTTTCTTGGTCGACGTATGAGTATTGTGAATTATCTACTTTAATATTTTGTGAGGTCGATTCCGTAATGCTACGTTCGAATGGTAATTTCGAACCTCTATAGTCGCGAGATGATGATTCACTACTCGCAGACAATATCGCGCGATGAATCGGAAAAATGTAAGAAATAACATTAATATTAAATATAACATCGATCTTGCATCCAATTTGGCGGGACAGATAAGTAAAAATAAAGATCTCTGTGTCAATTATCGAGCAATCTTAATCAAGGCTTGTCTGCCTGCAAGCACTTTATTCACCAGACAACGCCTCGCCGATATAATGGAACTATATTATTCATTTTTGCGGTAATGGAAGAGATAATTACCGGTGACACGAGACGAGTTCGCTGGCCTGGAATGAAAAAGGGGGTTCGATCGTGTAGCGCAGGAAGCAGGAAGATTGTTAGGGGGTTATAAAAAGAGAGATACGGCCCCCACACACAGATACACACACACATACATGGACATAAAGTTTAAACCGCAAAAAAAGGAGCCAATTTTACGCAGCGATAGGCGGATTTTTAATCGTTACGTGCACGTTAGACTCATTTGGAAGACGTGTATATATATTATATATATAGATCTATCGTAAGCTTCCGCATTCCATTAACGGATAATATTAAGTAGCGTGAAGCGAGCGGCTGTGCCGCTCGTGGTAATTTCCTAATAGCATCGTTTCATCGAAATTCGTGGGAATATTATGGTACGAAGAAGAATCACAATTTCCTTCTTTTTATTCTTCGAAGCATTCGGTGCACTCTCGGCGTTTCGGTTTCTCTCTTTCCATTCTGGCTGCTGTTGTCCTCTTCGTCGCGTTAAACGTGATTTGATAGCGGCGAAAAATACCGATAATGACGCGGTTTAATTTAATTTATTGCCGCGTGTTTTCATATGTGAAATATACGGCGACATGTATGATTTACAATGATGAGGGAAAGAATCGGAGAGAGAGGGAGTCCCGCATTTTTTATTTTTTATTATTTTTTTTCGAATTATTCTTGAGCCAGAGGGGTAATCTTCACTGTTTTATTCCGGTACGTAAATTTAATTTGCAGAAGATAAAAATATTACCGCTAAATCTCACGCAGCGCAATCTGCTAGACTTTTGTGAAATGAAATCTGCGAGATGAAACTCGCAAGATATTTTTGATGAATTTATTCTATTGAAAAATTGTTCATTTTGAAATAGACTTTTCCATCTGCGCGTGTGTGATAAATTTTAAATGACGATTGATATTGATGTATTGCATGGTGCACAGAGATTATCTCTTCGTATTTTTGCCATTTTATTATCAAATGCGTTCGAAAAATGCCGGATAAGTCAATCTTCGCAAAAATAACTATAGTCGCTTATATATTAATCCATTAAACCGGAATATCCTCGCGCGAATCTATTGCGAGAATAAATCTTGGAGACTCAAGTTGTGCGAATTCTGGATGGTACCACTTTAACGTCAAACTTTTGCGACGCACGCGGACGTCTTGCGCAAACTTATAATAATAATTATCATTATTATTACGTCGTTCAGCAGTGTATCCGCGAAGGGCAGAGTCTGCCTCCGAGGATTTGACGTTCGCGAAACAGTTAGCTCGAGCTGGTTGAAACCGGCGAACAACAACGACGGGTCGCTTCGTAACGAGTTGTTTTAAAGTTTCTTTCGACGAGAGGGCAAATCGTTCGCGCGCGCCGTTTGGGCAAAACGAGTCGAAGAAGAGAGAGCATGTCCTTGTTAAATTCAACTCTCGAAGCATTTATTCAAAAAAGTAAAATAAGTTCTAGTTACTTAATGTATTGCAGAAAATGCAAAGAGATGGAGGCAAAAAATGAAAAAGTGAAAATGCAGCGCTGCAGATTTTATATATTGATTATTATCCATTGAGCGGATTGTCACCAGTAGATAGAAGTTTTTTTATTTGTTTTAATATATGAAACATTTCTTAATTATTTTATTCGCATTGAGACGAACAGAGATTTATAATCAATTTTTTAAATTTAAATTTGAAAAAGATAATTAAAAGAAAATATCTTCCATCTCGTCTATCTTATTAAATTTTGAGCATTCTAGTATTATCGTAAGAACGTGTGATCTTTCTTCTCTCGTGATGAATATCTGCGCAAGGAGGGAACTAGAATAACCAAGTATGAAGCAGCGCAATATCTGCGTAAAGAATTCAGGAATTGGGACAATCAAAATCTGTCGGCATCAGAACGAAATGCGGGATGCTTTCGAATGCGAGAGTAGTCGACTTCGAAATGAGATGTGCCGACGTACGGAAAACTTTCCTGCTGCGCTCAACATAAAATTGGATTGTATTTCAAGTATGTCAACGCTCCGGGAAGCCCTGCGATCCCACTGTAATTGAATACCGTTCCACTTATAATCGAGTTCGTTTGCTATAGCTTCGTACAGCTTTATTTGTCCTCCGATGATCAACGGATTCGCGTATCAATTCGCGAAGAATTGACTTATATATCTATAATCTTCTATTTCGCGCCGATAATTTCTGGATTATCGCAAAAGAAATGGCTCACATTTATTTTGCGATGTAATTCCAATGTAATTTCATATTCGTGATATAATAATAAATAAGAATTATTATATTAACCGCGGAACACAAAATTCGGGCATAGATAAAATAACGCAAAACAATATATTCTTAATAAACGTCTGATCGCAAACGTCAGACGAGAGAGAAACCAATTACGCGGATATCTGATATTTTGTAATACCGTTCATTCAATCGCTTTTGACAGCTGAAGAAAAAAGAAGCTAAAGATATTATCAATCATTCTTATCGAACTTTAACTCTCGACGTGAGTAAATCTAAAACTGAATCATCCTACGTATTGAGGAAGGGAGTGGCTTGGTCTTTTTCGCGTTTCTAATTTTGACAACAAATCGGCAGTATAATACTCGAACGAATTATATAGGGGATATGTAATTTCAAAATCCGACACGTACGTCAAAATTCGAGGAATCTAAGGGAATCTGTACGCGCCGAGAAGCCGCAATATTCGGAACGTTCATCAGCTCCAACCGGCCAGAAACGATGCTAGGTAACGTGCCTTGTTAACAGCCCCTCCGAAACTGGCGTATCTTAGAGCATCAGACGTTCTCTCTCTCTCTCTTTCTCTCGCTCTCTGTCCTTCCTTGTTCTCCCCGCACTAGAAGTACGTAGATATGTATATATACCGCCGTTGTCGAGTTCGTCGTTATAACCGCCCTGTCTCGAAACTACCTGTCTCGCGGTGTAAACGAGTTTCGCTAATTTTGGGAGAAACTACGAAGTTTCTCGACCGAGGATGCTCATAGACAGTGCGCGATCCAGTTTCCAAGCGTTTTCGTGCGCCGCATTTTCGGAATAATAAATCATCTCGGCATAGTAAATCACCTCGAAACGAACGTCGACGTTTGTATTGCCGTTATAACTGCTAAGAGTAAGAATAATATCTATTTTACTTCTTCCATCAAGGAACGAAAATGTTACATTCTTTATATAATACTCTCTCTGTTATGTTGAATTGAAATAGAGAGAGAGAGAGAGAGAGAGAGAGAGAGAGAGAGATCATTATGAAATTCAAATAAAGATATAATTATATGAGGTGCCGCTATCAATTTGTTTATATTTGGCAATAAAAATATTTTTTTTAATTTACATCGTTATAAAAAGAAATAAATTGTGGTTTGGTAAAAAAAGGTATCATTGAAATGAATGAAAAATCTAGCTTTAATTGACGTATATTAATGTTATAACAACTTGATTTTGTGTTTAAAATTTCGATCAAAAATTGATATCGTGAATATTTTCGTGCAATATTGGATCACGATCATCAATTTTGGCTTTATGTCGTTAATCATTCTGAAATTTGTCTTTATTTTTTGATAAAATCAATTTTATCTTTATTACCCGATAAAATAAATTTTGCCAGCACACACAATTTTGTGCCATATTTTTTTTCGAACATAAAATATTACTGACGTTTGCGATCAGACGTTTATTAAGCGTATTGTTTAGCATTATTATATATCTGAATTTTATGCTCCGCGGGTAATACTTCTAATAATCGCGATAAACGCGCTATAGAGTGAGCAATCGATTAATGCTAATTACGCGCATAAACAGAGATAACGAGACATGGAAGCCCAATGTTCGAGCGCGTTATAGCGGTCGAGACGAAAGGCATTATTAAATCCGATTGCGAAAACGAAACACAGCCGCAAAATGCATATATAGTTGCAAGTAAAGTATTATATGACATCCCCATAAATTCTATACATAATCGCAGCGCATGAGACCACATCGCGGCTATCTAAACGCCGTGATTTACCATCACGCTTTCGATAGCATGCAAAAGTATCGACTACAATTTGTCATTCCTATAATTTCAGAGATTATTCGGGTGGGATTTATATAATATAAAGCTAGCAAAAGTATCGCTGTGTACTGTGGTATCGCGCTTATTAATTTCTGATTCAAAGTTATTAAAACTACAATTATACACAATTTCTTTCTATATATGAAATACATATATAAAATAGATATAATACATAAAACGAGGTATGTGAGAGAAAAATGTTTCATGCATCACTTGGTGGGTCTAAAAATAAAATCTATTTTTAATGTTTGATTTGTGA